TATCTGCTCTGCTGGGAGAAGCCAGATAGGAGAAAAATGTTTTGCATGAATTAGCTCTAAGTGTCACAAAAACCCCACAAAGGAAATAGTATTACCTCATTGCTTTTACACAGGCTGGGAAAGCTAACATAAATGACCGAAACTGGGAAAGGTGGCTAATCTGTCAAGGCAGTGTTATGAACTAGATGTTTGTGCTCCCCCAAAATTTATTTGTTGAAGCCCTGATCCACAGAGTGATGGATTTGGGCCTTTGGGAGGTAATCAGGGTTATATGAAGTCATGCCCCTGGGCACCAAAACCTTCTAAGCAACACTGAGACTCAAGGATTCTTACAAAGTGGTAATCAAACCCCACATATAGGAAGTTTCTTAGTCTTTGAATCTGCAAGCCATTGAGGCAACATTTGACAAAATTATCAGGGAGAATGTGAAGTAGACTGATCCCATGGGGTCTCACTGGGATTCACCAGATGTCACACTTGCCACAGATGAAGTCACAGTGATTTGACATTAACATTAAGGTATATGAAAAACAACCAAAAAAGAAAAAAGAAGAGCCTACCGTACATTTACTTATCAGTGTGTATGAATTTAATTTGCAATGCTGGTTCTAAAATCTTGAATATGACGCATTTTCTAAACAAGGTATACAGCCAAAATCAGATGAAATCTACACCTAAGCCTCCAAGCACTAATTCTGTGCAAACTCAGTGCCTCTGGAAACCACTCTATGATAAATTTAATTCCAGAATTAAATTCATATAGGAAAGCTGCCCATATTATTGATTTGGAAATCATCAGCCATTAAATCATTCATTTAGCTAAATAAATAATGATCAGTTTTCTTCAGCTAGTCTCCATAAAACCCTTTTCATCAACTTTATTAAAAAATTCTGAAAAGTAAGATCACGTTGGGAAGTTTAATTTGTATTATGACCTATTTGTGAACCAAAGTCAGGAGTCATATTTTTATAATTTTTTAATCTGGGTCATTTAACCCATATCACTTTTCAATTCTGCTGAGTTCCTGACAAAAGTCAAAGATATCTATTTCAGATAAGTTAGCATTATCAAGAGATATGTAACATGACAGTATTTATGAACATGCATCATAAATTACAACCCCAAATGTAAAATAAAGGAATATTATTAAAATAACTTCTATATTTTAAGCAAAAATTCATTTTTAATATATATAAGGGTTCTGAAAGCTTTTCCCCACTCAATTCAACAAAATCGGAAAAAATTTTTAATGCTTTAATGGACTTGGATTTTTTCCCTTGGTGGAGTAGTAAAATCTGAGCGTCAGAAAAGACAATTTGAAGAAACACCAGGACTGAAAGGAAACACCTGCAGTCCCACTAAAATCACACAGACACACTAAAAGAGCACACATACCCCTGGGCCTCGGATGGAGGCGCACAGCCTCCATCCCTTTCCCAGCAGCAAATGATGCGCTCACCATGCTCACTTTTATCAGCATGGAGAGACACTGCACCTGCCACACAGAAAACCCGAGCAGCCCGATAAACATGTTAGAAATAGACAGGACACTCAGGGTTTGTCCCTCAGGTGGGAGAGCCCAGACACAGATGTCAAAGGTATAGATACATGGCTTTGTCCAGATTGTCAGGTGAGAGGCTCGGAAAGCAAGTGTGTCAGTTTGAAGAATAGACTTGATGGGTGGGGAGATGCTAGCAATGTTAAGTGAAACTTCCAAAGGGTCTGAACCACAGCTTAACAACTGAATTGCTTTAGGAACTCCAGAAAATATGTAATGCATGGGCCACAGTCCAGAGGTTCTGAAATACAGAACCTGGATCCCAGGATCCCAGGCTTCCATACTTCTTAAAAATTCCCTAAGGGATTCTAATGTGAAACAAGGATGAACGACAGCAGCTGGCTTTGGAAACAAGGGGAAATGATAACTGAATCGGCTACAGCACACGAAGACTCCAAGAGCGTTAACACAGGCCAAGGACCAGTCTATGAAACGGTACCCAAGAGGGGCCCATCATCACCACTGGTGAGCAACAGTCCAGGGACAGAACCTACAAGCTGCTGCGCCCATTTTACAGATCACAAGGTAAAGAAAAACTAAATAATACTCTTCTGCTTGAAACCCCTACAGCTTTCAGTGGAAGGTTCATTTAAAACGTTTAACTTAGCACACGAGGCCTTTCATCTCTTCCCAGACTTGTGCTGCCTTGTTTCTTCACTGGTTGCCTACATATACTCTTCTTTCCAGGTATCAGAATAACCTACAAATCCCTGGAAAACTGTGATGTTCGCCATCTTTGCTTCTGTGAATTTTATTCCCTCTTCCAAAATATGCCCCTTCTCCCTCTCCCACCTCCCTCTCAATTCTCACCCACCCCAGTCTTTCTTTCTACATTGCCCTTGTTCATCCTTCAAAACCCAGGTCAAGTATCACCAGCTCCAGGAAGACTCTTCAGACCCCTTTCCACTCTGCTGTCACATGTCTATGATCCCAGCGCCTCTTGCGTGGACTGTTACAGCCCTTACCATACACAGATTTGTCTGTCTCCTCACCCCAAGGGTAAGCCGTCTCAAGACAGGACCATGTCTTCTTTAACTTTACATTCCAAGTACAAGGACTCTGAAGGACCATTCCTTCAGTGAATAATGAACACATGGTGAGAAAAGGAACTAGACAGGGATCCTCTGATTCATCATCAGGTATGTCTCCCCTACTCCAACAGCTCCTGAGAAACACCTATTTGTTTCATGTTTCATGATCATTTGGATGCCTCATCATTTAGTTAGCAACTGTAGCAGAGATGGTCAAGTACCTAAAGACCCTATGAAAAGGGGAGGCCTAATAACCCAGAAATCTGTGCCTCACACAGGCCTTTCACTTTCTCCAAGAAAACAGCTCTGGAAAAAGAGAAGAAGCCTTCATAAACGGAGAAATCATTCTGAGAAGGCATCCATCTCTGGGACCTTTATAATGTGATGCCATTATCTTGCCTTTTTGCAAAGGAGGCCTTTTGTGTAAGAGGTGCTCACACTCACATATCTGTATGCTGCAAGCTAAATAATAGAAATATCGAGTGAATCAATGTTTCCAAACTTCTTGGTTATGATTTCAGGCATTATTATGCCAACCAGTGGGTGATACAATTCTACACCCAACCCACTATTTTCTTAAGGTCTTAGATTCTATCTGTGCAAACCATCTCAATAATCAATCATAGCTTGATCCATAAGCAAATAATTAAAGATAATTTATCTAGAAGCAGGTTTGAGGAACAAATGAGTGAAACAGAGGACACCTCCTATTTCTCTGCTACCTGCAGAATTTTACTGAGTATGGAAATGTCATGTGTGGTCAAATGAAAGGGGAATAAACCATAATTCCATTTTGAGGTGTTTTTCTCTTCAGGACAATTTTTCCTCCTCAGCACAAACTCCACCTTGCAAAAATGCTATCTTTAATAGATTGACAAGTTTTGAATAGAAAATACCAAACTAAACAACAACACTGGCAGGTTTTTGTTTCTTACTGTTAACTCCTTTTTTTGATTCGGGGTCTGACACAGCACCAAACGTGGACAATACTACCCACTGCAATGCTCAGACAAAGCTGAATCTGAATTAAGTTCAACCAACCACTGGCTTTGTAACAAAACAACAACAACAACAAAAACCACAATGACTTCATGTCTCTGAGATATGGGTCTTTATCTCTAAAATAGGAGTGATGGTAAATATCAGGGGATCTGTTATTAAGATTAAGTAAGATACTGTACTAATAGCATTTGATATAGGTCTTCTCTTACTGTAGACAAAGTAAATGTTAGCTACAAATAAATGTCTATGGAATTGAAAAAATTAAAGGATAATTTAAAAAAGAAAAGTAGTAATAAAGAATAATTAAAAGGGTAAACAGCAATGCAACTATACTCTTCACGTATATTCAGCATTATTTGTAAGGTGTGCCATGAATTTAATAATAGCTTTTTGGAGGAGGAAAAAAAAAAACCAATGTACTCATCAACTGTGAGATACCCTGATTTCAGAAATAAAGGTAAAAAAAAAATGCATCTCAGAACTGAAGGAAAATGGTATACTTAGTAAAAACCTCTAGTATCCAAGAGGCCTGCACAGTAGATAGAAAAATGGTACTTGCTTCCCCTCTTCCCAACTACATATAACTATTGATTGAAAGAAGGATTATCCAAAAATGAGTGACAGGATCAGGTTTCTGGGAAAACGGCAGTTTTATTCCCCATATACATTTTCCCCAAATTTTATTCCATGCAGCAAAGTGCTCAGTTAAGACCACATCATCCAGGTTTACTGGCAGTGAAAGACAGCCAGAAATATCTAAGTGGAAGGCGTGGATAGGACTACCAAGGAGACTGTTTTGCCCTACTTCCTCTTTTCTCCTTACTGATGCCTGGAATATAGAGAGATAGCTGGAGCTCCAGCAGCCTTTATATCATGAGGTATTCACTAAAGATGCAGAGCAGAGAGAGGGGGAACTGAAAAAAAAAATAGTCAAGGAAACTATCCTGGAACCTTAAAAAGAAGTAAGGAGACTAAAAAGAAAAAAAAACATACACATGGAAAGGTATCTTTGATGAACTTACATACATTTAATTCTTTCCAAAAAAATTCTACACAGAAAGATATGTGGCCACACAGAAAATTCTTAAGATGAAATATACATCTACATTCTGTGAAGCAAATACTTAAGAGTTCTTAATTAACACATAAGATCAGAAACACCTGTAAGAATCACTTCAATTATGTCATACTTATCCTTTTAAATCCTCAATATTAGTAAGTATCCGGAAAACCGGAAGTACTCAAATAAATGTTTTAAATAAATGCATGATGATGTCAAGTTAAGTTATTCAGAATTACAAAACTTTATTATTGTTTTTCCCCACCCCCATTCACTCATCATTTTTCATTTATGGTTCCCCTAATAGAAGTTACACACTGTCAGGGAACTAGAACCTTCTTTCATACCTTCTGTTGTTGGAAATACCTCTTCCCCTTCAGTTTTGGTCTCGGCCAGCTTCCCAGTTCTTAGCAATACCTCTGCAAAGCTTTCCACTGGAACATGCTGGTGGGGGTCATAGGTCACTGCAGACTAGACAGAAGCAGTTACACCTTTTAGCTGGTAACCTTTTTCTTTAAAGATATCCTTAGAACAGAATTACAGGATTTTATATCTTTTGATGATTCAAATTATAACTCCTCACTTACTAAAACATATTATTTTATATGTAAAGCTTGAAACAGATTTTAATCTCATAATATAATATATACAAATCGCATAAAACCAGGTCGCCTAGATAGCTCAGTCAGTTAAGCATCCAACTCTTGATTTCAGCTCAAGTCACGATCTCCAGGTTGTGAGATCGAGCCCAGCGTTGGGCTCTGTGCTCAGCAGAAGTCAGCTTGAGATACTCTCTCTCCCTCCCCCCTCCCCCAACTCAATCCCTCTCTCTAAAATAAATAAAATAAATATTTTTAAAAAGTATATATTAAAAAAAAGTCACATAAAACCAGTGAGTAACATGAGTAAGAACGAAGCTAAAGAAGTAAATTTTCAGGAACATTTTCATTTTTGTTTATACTAAAATGCCCACAACAGCATAACAGTTGAATCTATGTTCTTAGGCACACTGTCCTTACCTCTGTGACAAAGGGATCGGAGAGGACAGATTCATAAAAAGGATGACAGCCTTGTTTTTCTAGACCTTCATTGGCTATGGTTCCAATTTGATAAGCACCACCGAATTCTTGCCCCTAAACAGAACAAAGTGAAGAACAGTGGATAGAAGGAAAGAGCGCTGGGGGCAGATGCGGAGGGGAGAAGGAGGGTTGTTTCCAGAGAAATGGATCCACGTGCACTGTGGGATCTACGGACTGTGTGTCAGTTTGACATGGACGCCCAGCAGAGCGGGTAAGAATGGCACCCACATTCTAAAAGCAGCCCTTCAACCTCAGCCTGCAGTGCCTTCTGATTTTCCTGGTCATTTGGACATCAGTGCATTAAAAACAAAGAAGCAATCAGTGTTAAACACACAACAAGTTTTCTATCCTACAGTCAGAGTAACCTTCCCAAAACATCATTTCGTACATATTGCTGCCCTGCTCAGCACATCTTTAGTAGCTCTAAACAAGACTAACAGGCCACAGTAGCAAGTCTAAACTATGTAAAATAACATTTAAAGTTCTTCAATGTCAATCAAACATTCAAGACTAATTCTTTATTCCAACCAAGATCTACTTCACGCGTCCTACCAGCTTCTATGCCTTTCTTCCACCACGAGGGCCCTGTCCATGCTGACTGCCTCGGCAGACCCCACCCTGCTTCCAGGCCCACCAAGGATCTCACCTGCTGAAACCCTACCAAGCTGGAGGCAAGATGGAAGTGCGCCCCTTGCCTCTTCCCCGCCACCCCACAACTGCCTTCAGGACCTGTCAGCAGTGGTCTTCACTGGCAAGCGCTTTCGGATCCCTAGTAGTTAACTGTCTTCAGGTTGACCTTCCTCAGATCGTAAAGCTCCTCACTGGAAGAGCCAAGTCAAACACAGTCACCCATTCCTCCGAGTTTACGAAGTCCTCACTTGATGCCAACCACAGCCTCGGGAAACTGTGAAGGCACTGCTGGAAATGATGACGAGAATGACAACTGACACTTAACAAAAACAATCTGGTATCAGGCACAGGGTTCCACACTTCGTCTGAGGCACGTACGCTCAAGAAGTCCAAGACGCGAGACAGAAAAGTCACCATAATCATACCCAGTGTGATACACACAATGAGAAGAGACGTGCAGACGTACCCCCGAGTCAAGCATCCACCATCTGTCTGTGGGATCGACATTTACCCAACCATCTCGGCTACGTCACCCTTGCTTCCCCTCTTCCCTGCATATCCCACATCCAGACCATTCACAGGTCCACAAAATACATCTCCCACTTGCTTCACCGCTGCCCCGGTCCACCCCTTCACCACCTCTCCCCTGGAGCACCAGATCAGAGACCTCTTTGCCCCTGCCCTGACTCATGCTGTCAGTTCTCCACAAAGCACTTAAATGGTCTTCAGAAAGTGAAGCTGGATCACACAACCGCACTGCCTACATTCTCCAACCGCTTTCCGTCCTACTCAGAATAAAATCCGGGGTCCTCCTCACAGTTTGTACACGGCTTGGCACGTTGGCCTCTTCTTACCACCTCCTTGATTTCATCTCCCATCATTCCTCCCGCTGTTTACTCTGTTCATACTACACAAGCCTCCTTTCTGTTCTACAAAGATGTCAAGCATCTTCCTTCAAAAAAGGCTCTCTGTACTTGTTCTGCTTGGCTCAGTCAGGTTTCTGCTCAAGAGTGACTCCTGATACACCAACCTTCCGATCTAAATCAGACCTTCACTCCCCCAGTATCAAGCATTCTCCCCTTACCTTGAAGTTATCCTCACAGTCCTCACTACCACCTACCGTTACATTATTACAAATACTTTATTGGTGGGTTTCTTTGTCTCCCCCACTGAAATACAGGCTCCGCACGTGAAGGGTTTCCCAACTCTGCTCCCAATCACTAGCATGAGCTTTGACACACAGAAAACGCCTGAGGAGTATTTGGAGCATGAATGAAATGAACGATACACCCACTGAGTGTTTGGGGTGAACTTATAAACAAGCATATTTCTTTGTCCTTCAAGCTTTCCAGAGAGACTAAGGACTGCAGTGTGAGAGCGCAGGGAAGACAGCAGGGGAGCAATATGTTCACTGGTCACAGAAAGCACACTCCATCGTTATACCACTCGTCCCGACCTCTATTTCCAGAATGGGTGAAAGAATCTGTTACGCTGTTCTCTTTACCAAAAACACCTACTAAAAATTGAATGTGTCATCTGCTAAAATTCACATGTTGAAATTCTAAGCCCCCAAAACACGATGGTATTAAGAGGTGGGGCCTTTGGGTGCATATACACAATGGAATATTATTCTGCTATACAAAAGAAAGAGATCTTGTCATTTGCGACAACATGGATGGACTTAGAGGGTATTATGCTAAGGGAAATAAGTCAGACAAATATATGATTTCACTTACATGTAGAATCTAAAAAACAAATGAGCAAACAAACAAAAAAGCGTAAGCAGACCCATAAATAAGAGAACTGATGACTGCCAGAGGGTATGGGGTGGGGGAGGAGCAAAGTGGGTGAAGGGGAGTGGGAGGTCCAGGCTTCCAGCTATGGAATGAGTAAATCACGGGTTATGAAAGTACAGGGAACACAGTCAAGGTACTGTAATAGTGTTATATCATGACAGATGGTAGATACACTTGTGAGTACAGCATAACGTATAGAGTTATCAAATCACTATGCTGTGCATTTGAAACTACTGTTACATTCCGTGTCAACTACACTTCAATTAAAAGTAAATAAATACATTTAAAAAAACTAAGATATGGGGGCCTTTGGGAGGTGACGGGCTCATGATGTTGGAGCCCTGCAGAGAGTTCCCTCAACCCTTGCAACATGTGAGAACACAGCAAGCAGAACCCACCAGAAGCTAATTTGCCAGAGCTTTGATCTTGGACTTCCCAACCCCCAGAACCGCGAGGAAGAAATGTTTGTTGTTTAAGCCCCACAGTATGTGGTATGATTGTTCTAGCAGCCCCAATAACCTCAGCCCCCATGCCATCTTCCAGTGCTTTTCCTCGACTACTGGCCCATAGAAATATAGCAAAAACAAGTAAGCACCGATGAAATCATTTTCCTTTTCATCCCACTAAATTTTAATTCTGACATCAAATCCAACCCCACCCCAATCTGTATCAGTGTCTTTTGCAAGCACCCTATGGGAGTAGGTTACATTCTATAAAATAAATGACTCTTCCCCTATCTGATTGGAGGTCTCGATTTCTTCAGAGATTATTTAATAATCTAGAGAAGATAAAGCTGTTCACAACACGAAAACGACTGAGAAGCAGTGCTAATGCATTGACAGAAGCCCGAGGATGGATTCTGAAAAGACAGAGGTCTTGCTTACGTGAAGCGGTCGGAGGTAAGTTAAGGACTTCTTCCACCACTGCCCGTCACTGACCGCCTGCAGCACGGCCTTGGTGGTGGTCGTGGTGCTGGACAGGACCTTCCTGGTCGCAGCGGTGCTCCAGCCGAAGAGGTCGGAGTTGCTGCCAGGAACACCGACTTCGCCCTAGTTAAAACAGAAAAGGCCAAGAGCAAAAAATGCACATGGCCAGAAGAACAGAGAGTGATCATGAGACGACTTACGCTTCTCAGACATGAGAAATTTAAAAATCCATCTTTGCCAGCAACAAAAAAATGTGAAACAAAGCACTACTGGCACATTGTACCTCCTTGGATCAGGTACAAAAGAAATCTGGTAAAGGAAAAACCATCACCGTGCATTAGTCAAATAATTCCCTTCAGAAACATTTATGAAGCACATAATGGGTTCTTTCTTACCAATCTAGTATCCTACCAACGAAAAACTCATGTTTATTTCTTAGACATTTGAAAATATTTATTATACAGGTTAATTATGAAATAATTTAGTCATTTGAACAATGCTATGGTGACCCAGACAAAGGTAGGAGACTCGGAGGACCCATCTATAAATGTTGAAAGGTATTCTGTTTTTCATCTAAACAAGTGGATGATTAATAGTGTTTAAAAGGTTTATAACATGAAACCTCCTGCCAATCTGGAAGCAATCAGCTAAAATTCTGACTCTCCATTTACTCATCTGAGAGATTCCACGTGGAGAAAAATGCTAATACATTAACATTTTTTTTTTTAAAGATTTTACTTATTTATTTGACAGAGAGAGACACAGCGAGAGAGGGAACACAAGCAGGGGGAGTGGGAGAAGGAGAAGCAGGCTCCCCGCTGAGCAGGGAGCCCGATGCGGAGCTCGATCCCAGGACCCTGAGATCATGACCTGAGCCTAAGGCAGACGCTTAAGGACTGAGCCACCCAGGCGCCCTACATTAACATTATTTTAAATAGAAACAACAACCACATCTGCTTTTGATCAAAGAAAAACACTACTTGTTCTACAAAAACAAAGTTCTTGGTTTAGTGTTTATCTACTTCCACTTATTTTTTCTTAAGTTTTCCATTTAAATGAAAGTGAAGTTAAGGCCTAGTCCCTCTATTTCAATAGCCTTCCTGATACTGATAGAAGGAGAGCATAGTTTGGCTATTTAGGTCCACATCACATCACTTATTCATGTATTATAAAAGTAATAAAAAACATAAATCATGTAATCACTCAGTAATTGCCAGGACATCACACATCACAAATACTGAGGATACAAATGCACTGTTGTAGACCAAACTGACAGCTGCCCTACATGGTAAGTAGAATTACGGGCCCCAAAATGTCCACGTCCAAATCCCTGGACCCTGGCAATACACTGCATTCCACGGCAAAGGGATTTTGCAGATATGATTAAGGACACACACCTTGAAGTGATTATCTAAATTATCGGGGTGGGACTAACCTAGTCACACAAGCCTTTAAGCAGAGAACCTGTCCCAGCTGGGGTCAGACAGAGGGTGTCTGGGACATGCCATGGGGCAGAGGCAAGAGACACCTGAGGCATGAGGGGACTCAACCCATTATCGATGGCTTTGAAGATAGAGGAAGGGGCCACAAGCCAAGGTGTGAGTGGCACCTAGAAGCTGAGAAAAGCCCTCAGGTGACAGCCAGCAAGGCAACAGGGACTTCGGTCCTATAACCACAAGAAATTGAATTCTGTCAACAACATAAATCAGCATGGAAACAGATCCTTCTTTAGAAGCTCCAGAAAAGAGCACAGCCCTGTCGGCATCATGATTTTGGCCATGTGTGACTAAGGGGAGACCCACCTAAGTCTCCCAGATTTCCGTCCCATGGGAATTATAATCAATTTGCACTGTTTTTAAGTGGCTAAATTTGTGGTAATATGTTATAGCAGCAATAGAAAACAAATAATATCATGTTAGGATACTTAACTTCTAGAAAACCATTGTGAACTTTACTCTTACTTGCAAAAGGAAATGAATTTAAGCTATATCAACCAATGCTTACAATTGGTCCAATTTGTCGTTTAAGGTTTCTCGTAAGATTTTCTAAACTGTGCTTTTAACACACACACACCAAATTGTGTCCCAACACTGTAAGAAATGATAATTATGGAATAGTAATAGTGTTATAGCTAAGCTACAATGGCAACCACCTGGCAAAATAAATGTATCAAATCAGGGGCACCTGGGTGGCTCAGTTGGTTGAGCATCCCACTCTTGATCTCAGCTCAGGTCTATGATCTCGGGGTCATGAGTTCAAGCCCTGTGTTGGCCGCCATACTGGGCGTGGAGCTTACTTAAAAAAAAAAAAGTATCAAATCAATAAGCTGTATCCCTTAAGCTAACACAAGGTTTTTATGTCAAATATATCTCAATTTAAAAAAAATTTTAAAAAATTGCGTTTCCTATGAACTTTTTGGATATTGGGAAAAGTATAAACTATCAACTCAATGCAATCACTGTAATTTGATTATGAAAACAACAACATAAAAAATGGATTTTAATAAGGAAAAAAATCATGTTAAGTTGCTTATATACTCATAAGGGCAACCATGCTAAAAATAATAGTTTGGAGTTTAGCTCATTATCCAACACTTCTGAAAGGACAAGGTAGAAAGTCCTACGTAGGAAAAAACAGAATTCTCCCTCCAAGTCTAATAATGATGACGGCTTGCTGTGGGCCAGGGCTGCACAAAGTGCTTCATATGTGACTGGGCAAAAAACCGGAAGGGAACACAAAAAAACACAAATAGTTTTAATGGTAGCATTACTACAATTCTTTTCTTTCCTTAATTTCTTCCCTCTGTGAGATGGCAGGAGAGGCTGATTTATTCTCCACTTTGGCACCGCTGACAGCTGGTTCATCATGTAGGACTTAAGTCAACAGAAGAAAAACAAGCTGATTCCCAGGGGCCCCTCTTCTCAGAAGGCCCCAACCCCAGCCGACGAGCTTTTGATGGTGCACAGTGGCAAAGTTACCTCCAGGTCCCAGCCTGCGTTTCTGGAGTGGGGCCTTTTTCCACTGGACAGCTGGCAATCATGCGTGTCACCCACCAGGTCCGGCCTAAGCACTGCTCTCTGGGCTACTGAAAACCCTGGAGATCAGGGACACTTGGGCTTCACTCGGATTCTGAGTTTTCCCCTTAATAACTGTGCACAGAGTGGAGTCGGCTCTGTGTGTCCCTCTGTGCATAACACTGCCAAAAATAGTTCTTTGCCAGAAATAAAGCTCAGAAGGAAATCTGAAGTATACATTCCCTCTTTTTATACAGATACAGATATGCAGATATAGATACATGTGTATATAT